TGATATTAATATTAATAATAATAATATTGATATTAATATTAATATAAATATTGTTTTTGTTATCCAATTATTACTAAACTGTAACATAATCAACATTATTATTACATTCTCCATAATATTCATTAACTTCCCCATCAACAACTAATGTTCAGGAAAAGACCATCAAAGCTACCATAAAAGCAGCCTACGTTTTTAGTATGATCTATTTTATTAACAGTGTGCTTGGGAGTCCCAAATTAACCTTTTTTGATAAAAGTAATAGTAACTACAATAAAGGAAATTCTACAGTTCTATTACGGAATCATTCCGTAGGATTTAGTTGATTTCATAATGATCTAACGGTTAAAAACTCCAGCGAAAATGGTTCTGTAACGGGACCGTAGCATTCCCTATAATAAATAACTTTATCTTTTTTTTATTAATATATTATTATTAACTAAATTTATTTATCATGCCTAATGCATGAAATAAGTTGGAGATATTATTATAATATAGAACCAATAAATCCTACATCTAATGAAATTTATTTTTTAAAAAAAAAATAAAGTTTATATGATAATCTAAAAAAAAACTTCTATTTTATTTTTACATTTTTAAATATGAAACCTTCAATAAACATCTGTATATAATATGTTGGCACTGCGTTAGAGCTAATATTAATTTAAACTGATAAGTTCAAACATGATTTATGAAATGAGATTGAATGCGTATTCATTTTATATTCCTAAATATTTAAGATACTGACTTATGCATAAAAAACAAATCATTTGGAATGTAAATAATTAGCTCTGTAAAATGTTACCCGGGCTGCAGCCCAGTTAAGTGAACACATGGCTCTGCCCCTGTAAATATTAAATTTATCGTATATCAAAGATTTTCAATTTAAAATATAAGTATATACAATTAAAATTAAACAAAAAGATCTTTATACCAACCTTTAAACATAAAAAAAATAAAAAATATCAGGTAAAATTGATTTATGAATTCAAAGAAGCCATATTATGTATGGCATGAGCCACAGATTTATTATAAATGAGCACAAGTTCAAATCTTGTGTATATTTTATTTTATTTTTTATTTTTATTCTTTTAAGGAAACTATAGATAAGTTTAAATCTTTTGTAAATAATTCAATAAATAACTTTCTCCAACCAATATTATTTGAGGAATTTGCATTACATACAATCATATCTTATTTATATAACATTTTTACACCTATTTTAATTTTATTTATAAAATAGCTAATTCAACCCTAAAATTTTATAAATATACCTGATTTTCAATCACAAACAGTTCAACCGTTATTAAGGAATGTAGAACAACTTATTTGTGATTAGAACATTAATTGAGTCTTTGATATATCCTTACCAAAAAAATCGCCCCTAATCTTCATCCCCTACCACCATTATCTGCCATCAAAACCCCATGTTCTCCATCTCTTCAAGCATTTTTTTTCCCAATTCCCACATCCAAAAAAAAAACGAACAACAGTGCCAATGAAACACCACAAAGAAAGTCGAGTTCACGGCTTCATATAATCCATTCCTTAATAAAACCAAACCTCGTTCAAGGAAAGCTCAATTTTGAAAAAAAATAAAAACAATATGAACCCTCATCTTAATCAGAAGGTTGCCGGTAAAGCTATAGTTCAAAAGCATAGTTCATCTCCCGATGATTTTCTCACCCTAGGCGATCCAATAATCGTTCTCCATGGAATCGACGAAGGAGAAGAGGGTTATTTTCAGGAGGATGATTTCCTAAATTACTGCCGGAATAAGAGGGTTTCTGCGTTGCCATGATCGAGGGAGATGATTGGTTGGTTGCAGGAAAATTTAATGTTGTTTCCATTTTTTATGGATATTAGACTATGTGTAGATCAGTTAGTACGTTGAATTCGCCGACTTTGGATTGTAGTATATGTACAATATATCTACGGTATATGTACAGTATATGTTCACTGCCGTATATGTTGCGTGTATTTACATGCAATATATGTGGTGTGTATAGGGAGTATATGTTCAATATATTAGAAGATTTTTTTTGTAATATATGTCATGTGTATAGGGAGTATATGTTCAATATATTAGAAGTATTTTTTTTTACAAGTGCGTTAAATAGATAAATAAGGTCTTTGTGTTGTGTACATGTGGTTTATTTTTTTAAGAAAATTGTTTACAAAGCATAAAAGTAAAATAAAACAATACGTAAACTCCACATATACTAAAAAAAATATTCAAAAATTGATTTAAAACAAGCATAAACTGTCTTTTTTTTATATCTATGGTTTATATTCAGTATATTTTTGGTATATGTACGGTTTATATGTAGTAAAATCATGGAATATACATACAATACATATACCAACCATTTTTTTATAGTTTATTTTATGTATCTATATATATATATAATTGCTGGCATGTAGCATTAAATAAAACTTATTTAATAAAACTTCTAATGTTTTCCCTCTATTTTCGGTTACAAAATTTGTTATTAATATTTTTTACTTCTCACATTAATACATCTTAATGAGTGTTATCATGTAAGTTTCTATATAATAGTTATTGCTAATAACAACTAATAATAATTCACAATAAATATAAATTACATAATTATAAACAATTGTTTCAAGTTATGTATTTTAACATCAATATTATCTTTTTCTTTTATATCTCATAAAAACTTTCTTTAAAAACAATTAGTAAATTAATAATACCATAGTTAAACAACTTTAAGATCTTATAAACAATTATTTTTTAATAATAATAATAATCAAATTGTTATTATCTAATGATAATAAACAAATGTTCATAATAATAAATCGTTAATTTATTTTTCCTAATGATCAAATTTTTGAAAATTTAATATGTTAATTATCCATAATTTTATTATTAAATTCTTAAATATTACTTACTAATATTTTATTACATATCTGTGCATGTGCACAGGATATCTACTAGTATATATTAAATATAAAGTCAGGTTTTCATTCTATATACATAAAGCAATTATTATTTTTTTTTTACTGGATATCATGCGGGAATTAGGGGATTGAGGGGTTATGTAACTGCTTTTAAACTTATATGCATTAAAGAATCCTTATTTAGGTAGATTTGTAATTATTTGGTTATCAATAGTATAATTATAATATTTTCTATTTCATGCCGGAAACATAAAAATTTCCCGCTCGGCCCAACAAGGATCAACCCATATGCCCCAGTCTTAGTAAAGTTCCAAACATTGATTTAGGGCAAATCGGAAAACCAATTCCCCTCTCTCTCTCTTCGATTTATCCCAATATTTGTTGTTCTTCGATAAAAAACACTTCCATAAGCAACTACCTTATCGTTTTCTTACAAAATAGAGCTATGTCTACTGGCAAGGACCGAGATAAGGACCAAGTTTTTCGAGATACATTAGAGGAAATTAGACAGTCAGACGATTGTCTCTTGTTTTCACCTGGCCCTGATTTCGCCGTAGCTTGCTCCTGCGACGACTGCCGCCTCAAAATCACAAAGCTGAAGAAGTTTGAGGACGAGTTCAAGTTTAAACGAAAACTTTCCCGGGTGAGTTCTGCAGAAATTATAATCAATCAATAATATTTGCCCTAGTTTCTTCTATTGTTTATTTATTTATGAATTTTGTTTTCTTCAAATTCGTGAGCAGGATTACTGTAGCCAACTGTACAAGGCTGAGGATCTTTGTGTGGGACTTGTTAACACCGCTAAGTGGACATTAGACATGCTCAATTCGCTTTTCCGACAACTTGAGTCATTATCTGAGGTAATAATTTAATGATTCCCTTGGTATTCATTGCCTTTTACTGTATAAATAGCTTTTTTTTTACCTTTTAATTATATTGATTTCTGAAGTCAGGAGAATCATTTCCACTTGAAAAAGATCCCTCAGCTGCTAAAATGGTCGTCTTCTTACATCAGTTTCTTCAACTACTAAAAGATAATGAGTTGGTTGGTAAGGCGGAGGTCATTGAATATGATAATTATCATATTCCAGATGGAATCGCCACTGGGGTAAGATATTATGTTTGAATATTGTGATTATCTTATGCTTAAGTAGATTAATCTAATTTTATTTTTCTTCATATGGTATGTTGACTGTGTATATTTAATATATTGTATCTTGATTCTTTTCTCCCAGTATTTATTTGTCCTATCCCCCTGACATTGTATAAGTGCGGGTTCTATCCTCCTGATTTTTTTGCTTGCTGTTTTGTGGCCACGAGCTTTCAAACTCTTTCCCAGGACACAAAATCAACTAAATCATATTTTATCTTCTAAGTTCTTATTGGGATTGGATTCCTCATTTAAACCGGGGCGTTTTACTATCCAGTAATGATATACCCTGTAATGGGTAACTTGGGCATGAATGGTATATATGCTCTAACTCAAGGGGTCTGTGGTAGTGTGTATATATGCTATATTTGAAATTGTATATATCTTCTTATTGAGTAGATTGATCTTTATTTTCGTATTGTAGGTAGATTGTGTATATTTGTACATATTTTATTTTGATTCTTTTTTCCCACTGTAAACATTGAGTGGTTGTCCTAATCTTTTTCTGATGATTCTCTTCTCTCTCTGACATTTTCAATCTCAATTAAATGTGATGTGCTATTGGAAACCGGTGGTCATCAGTTTTTCTTTTGGAAGGGAACTAAAGCTAACAATGAGGCTTCTCCTCTTCTCCAAGAAATTTCTAAAATAGAAGAGCAGAAAAAGAAACTAGCTGAAGAAAGTGGGAAGTCGCTCGATCCTTCAATTTGCAAACGGTACATCCAATACCAGATTGAGGTAAAGATTATTTACCTATAGTGGTTTTTTTGATTTTTTACCTATAGTGATTTTTTTTTTTTTACATTTCAAATTGGGCTAATTGTTGTGTTTATGATTATAATTACCATAGTTGGTAAAGCAATTTCCGATTGAGAAATTGTACGCTGAGGCTGACGAGCTCATTCATAAGTTTTGTCCCATCTATGAGAAGAAGGTAATGCTGGGAGAAATTTCTGTATATATTGCTAAGACTAGTCGCTCTATTGTTAGAGAAAGAATGAGTTTCTGGCGACGAATTGATGAGGTATAACATTTAGTTTTAAAACTGCTCGTAATTTTGTTTTAGATGACTTTCTTTGATCTTAAAATCTCTTCTTTAATCAATTTTCATAAGCATCCATCCTCTGAGGAAACGGCTAGGAAGGGCCAGAGTAAAACACACATGTCGAATGGATTGGACAAGACTCTCGACTTGTTGCTCACCATGGTATGTTGTTGATCAATTGTATTTAATCACTTCTTTATCTTGTTTTCTCCAATCTTTTTTTTTCTGTTTGTTTTATTGAGTGGTCTTTAATGATTAGGTCGATGTGTTCAAGAGCCAGTGGAAAAGGGAGTACGACCCTTTCTTTACTCGCTCAGATCCTAAAAGGCAACGGACTATTAGTACCTAGCTGTTGCGCCAAATTGAAAAATGGGATTATTTGGTCCTGTTTAAATTAAATAAGTTCTTTTTACAAAGCACCCATTAAATATAACCTTTATATTTATAGTTTTAGTTTTGTAAATTAAGTAATTCAATTAAAAATAACATACTGTAAATTATGTTGTTTAAATTAAATAAGTTCTTTTTACAAAGCAACCATTAAATATAACCTTTATATTTATAGTTTTAGTTTTGTAAATTAAGTAATTCAATTAAAAATAACATACTCTAAATTATGTAGCCTTCCGTTGTCAGTTGACTGCACTTGCTTTGGTCCTCACCACAGTGAAACGATTAAACTGTTGAAATTGCGGTATCAGTGAAACAACATCAAGTCACATGTTTTGTTAAACACTACGAGTCAACTCATCACACAATTTTGAAGATAATGTTGGCAACATTATCGCCGACAAAAATGTAAATGAAGAAAAATCCTATGAAAAAAAGGCAATCACTTTGATATGGGATATTATACCATGAACCGGTCCAGTGGAGGAGAGAGGGATAAATAGGACCAACAGGTCCGGTTGAATGGAATACATGATTGGTCGATGAGGGTGAAGGGTCAAAGCCATGCGAATCCTGGAATGTTCGACAAATTTCCGCTCCATACCTGATATGGTCGAAGGCAGGAATGGTCGACTACAAATAGTCGTGAGATCGACCACCCTGTACTACAGGGGTAGCTCAACAGCCTGCCCAGATCTGGTCGAACATCAGTATCCAAGGAAATCTCCAGCGCGTGTGCAGAGGACACGTGGCGAACGTTAATTGGTATGTACCAATAACGGTTTCTGACACATTCCGACATAATTCTAACACCAAGATAGTGGAGGCAGTGGATTGTACGACCGGGCAACTGGGGTAGCCAACACAGCTTGCCCGAGCAGCTCCAAGGTCACCCTTATAAATAGGGGTGAGGTCTCTATTTTTTACGTAATCTCTCATATACACTACACACTTTGTCATATACATCTTCTCAAGACTAATTTGAGCATTGGAGGCTCTTCACCGGAAAATCTCTTCGGTGTGAGAGTTTCGTGCAGGTTCGGTGTTCTACCGGCGAGAAAGACGAGTTCGAAGTGGTCCTAAACCGGTATGGGCGTTACACCTGTATTATACTAGACACTACGAAACACAGTATTACAAATAATCCAAATTCTTGTTCAGCCAATAAGATGGTGCAATTAATCTATTTTATAAAATAGTTTGATAAAGAACTCTTTAGCCTAATGCTAAAAATATGCTGCAGTCTGTTGCCACGAAAACAAAATAAAGATCCAAACATAGGAACTTCGGAATCGACAGACATAAGAACTCCATAATCGACAGTGAAAAAATGCATCAACTTTGACAGTCAACTAGCCTCTTCACCAACAAGCACCCCCACATCAACACATATTTCACCATTCTCAGGACATCTGACTCTTGAAACAAAGGCAAAAGTTGTTGCAAGCCCTTCGAAGAAAAGTCGCCCCAACATAGACCAACACTTCTACACATGCAACTTTAAATGTTTGAATGGAAAAAATGCCATGGAAACTTAACATTTTGTGTTTTGTATATATCTATGGTAGAAATTTAAGCATATTCTACCAAATTATGCAGAGGGATAATGATGCATAGCATATTATGCAACTTAGAACCTTATTTGTTGGTGTTTATTATAATTAACAACACATAAAATATGTTTTGTTGGACTCATGTACATAATCCATGTTGATTTTCATGTTTTTGTACAATACGAATGTTATCATCCGATTTGGTAATCCATTATTAAGAGTCGTGAACAACATCTCAGACAATTTTTACACCAGCACCGACAAAACCCAAAGTCACCCCGGTTCATACGGCAAATCGAGATCAACACAAACTGAGGTCGTCACCTCTTAAGCAGGTGACAAGGTCACCTACCAACCGAGATCACCCCTATCGAGGTCAACACGAACCGAGGTCGTCACCTCTTAAGCAGGTGTCAAGACGCCTACACGCCATCCTCACGAACTACGAGATCTACTATCATTCAAGTGAGACCCACTGATCATGCCGCCCATCAAAAAGTGACTTTATAGGAAAAGCAACGCACGAATCCCGATGTATATATTAAAAAGTTACTATAAATTGCGAACTGATGGTACTTGTACGAGATTCGATCCCCGAACAAAAAAAACACACCTTCTCTATGATGAAACACGAAACAACTCTCGAAAGCTTTTCACCTCGGTTCACCTCGGATCGGGGCTATTGTTGAGTATTTTACGCTTACTTTATGTTCAAATTCTCGATATTACTTAACTAAATCAACCATTAGATCGTTGTTACATATCACATAACAACAACAAAATCCACATATTAGAAATTAGCAATAGACTCGTGTATTCACTTAAATTGGATCGATTGTGTTGCGCACAACCATGACCTTCTAGTAAATAAAATAAATTAGTAGTCATGGGTCATTATTTCAACAATAAAATTTCTTACAACTTGACCCTATTTAACTCACTCACCTCTCTAAAATGGCCGTATAATAATAATATAATAATAATAATAATAATAATAATAATAATAATAATAATAATAATAAAATATTGTTTTTGTTATTCAGATTATACTCATTTTTTCAACTATATCAACATCATCATTACATTCGTCAATCAATTTTGATTTCTATTAACGGCTCCATCAAGGAAAAGACCATCAAAATTGCTGAAAGCTTATTGCTTGATTGTTTATGAAATAATTTGTTCAAAGTGAGTTATTTTAGTTTACTATAGTTAATTTTGAGAATGTAGTATGGTTAGTTGTTAGTGGAATTTTAAGAATGTATTAAAATAATATATAAAATAAAATAATCAAAATTGATTTGATGTAAAAGTAAGAGATAAATGATTGAAAATGATAGTTAGTTAAGAATATGTGAGTGGATGAATAGTGAATTAAAGTTGATGTGATGTGTAAGAACGATTGGTTTGTATTATTTAATTATATGAATAATATTAAGATAGTGGAGTTGAGTTAAAGTTGAGTTGAATTTTGAGTTGAAATGAAAGTGAGTAAATTATTCCATAAACAAGCAAGCCCTTAGGGTACATATTTCTTGTAAACATTCATATTAAGTATATTCAAATAAAAATAAATAAAAGTTTAGTTATATCAATGTTTGTGTACAAAAATAATTTTGCTCATCAATTATAGTTGATCTATCACTTCAAACAAGCATATTATGTATGGCATGAGTTACAAACTTCTATGTTGTCCTACCCACGGTGAACACATGTTAATATGTCCACCGTATATGTGACATGTACACACTGGTGATATATTTTTTTGAACATATTAACATCACTAATTAGTGCATGACACATGAGTGGCGAACATATTAACATGTGTCAAATGTGGGTAGGGGAGCATTATCCAACTTCCCTCTATGTCTTATTGATAGTTAATGGGGTTCCTACCACGCCACATGGGCAGCTTCTTTAAGTAGTTTTTCAAATAAATTAGTTGAATTTTTTATTCCAACTGTACTGTGGGCTGTTGGGCATTGCGCAACCGAGATTTTGCTAGTATTATAAATAAGCACAAGTTTAAACCTTCTTTTTTTTTTTTCTTTTTTTTTTTTTTTAAATAATTCACAAATTAACTTTCACCAATTACCGTTTTACCGCAAGCTTAGAGCACCCACAATGCATTAGGTCTAATTTACATATTTGACATATAAATAGATTTAAGTCTTAAACGACATGGACAAACCCAAGTAAAAAAACTCAAAAACTATTCAATGCAAAAATAAAATACTAGGTCTAGCATACATGTTAACCAATAAAAATGCTCTAATATGTTTCATTTATTAAAAGAAAATTTAAATGGAGAATAAATGATGAGTGCTTGAGTTTGTACTTTGGTCAAAAATAGACTCAAGTATAGACTTGGTCTCTTTTTTTATTGCCACATAAGCTAGACCATGTCCACCTTTAATTGCATTGAGAGATATTTTTTAATAGTCTAATCTATGTCCTATGGCATAAGATATTTTATTAATAGACCTCGTAGGCCGCACTCGGGCCAACAAGGATCCGGCCATAGCCATATGCCCCCAATCTTCGGACAGTAAATCGTCCCAAACATTTTAGGGCAAATCGGAAAACCATTTACCCTTGCTCTCTCCTCGATTAATACCAATATTTGTTCTTTGTCTTCGATCAAAAGCTTCCATAAGCAATTTCCTGTCGTTTTTCTTACAAAATCGAGCTTCAAGAATGTCTGAAGCCGAGGAGCAAGACACGAACCAAGCTTTTCGGGAAGCATTAGAGGAAATTAGACAGTCAGACGATTGTCTTTTGTTTTCACCTGGCCCTGATTTCGCCGTAGCTTGCTCCTGCGACGAGTGCCGTCTCAAAATCACAAAGCTGAAGAAGTTTGAGGACGAGTTAAAGTCTAAACGAAAACTTTCCCGGGTGAGTTCTGCAGGAATTATAATCAATCAATATTGTTTGCCCTAGTTTCTTATATTGTTTATTTATCTATGAATTTTGTTTTCTTTGAATTTGTGAGCAGGATTACATTGGGCAACTTGAAAAGGCTGAGGCACTTTGTGTGAGACTTGTTAATACTGCTAAGTGGATATTAGACATGCTCAATTCGCTTTTCAGACAACTTGAATCATTATCTGAGGTAATAATTTAATGATTCCCTTGGTATTCATTGCTTTTTGTAGAGAATATACATGCTATTTTCTATTTTTATACTATCTTTTGCTTCCTTTGGTTTTAGGGATAAAACGCGTGTGCGCGTTTGTTATTTTGTTTTCTGCACTTTTGTAATAGGATATTAAACGGCACCGTATTAAGTGAGCTGAGGGGTTTTTCTATTTTTGCACTGCTATAAATATGCATGTGCTTTGTACGTACGGATTGGATTTTGGATGAAATAAAATTCATTTTTCA